ATAAATGTTAAAGATTTTGAGGGATGTCAGGAACATTCACTGAAACGAGGAGAACTACAGAAAATGCTTTAGAAGTGTATTGTTACGGCATTGCTTGTTGCCTGTTGTGAACGTCTGTGTTTGAATTCAGTGTGCTGTCTTGAAAACGGAAGAATTCCCAAAAAACAAGAATACCAAAGAAATACAGCTCAGGGTTTGGGGAAGGTGGGGGAAGTAATTCAGCTTTCGAAGAAAACAGGTCAAGATGCAGTGTAAATTTGTATTTTAAGACAGACAACCATGCATTAAAATGGCCTCTATCTTGATAGAGGCTTTCGGAGACTTGTGCTGAAGTGCAGCATCTCAAAAAGGTGCTTGCAACTTCACAGATATGTATATATCAATTCTTTTATCACTTGATCTTATTGAAATATTTCTCTTTCCATTCTCCTATGCATCTACAGCAAGCACAGATTATTGTAAATAATGCACTGAAACTTTACTCTCAAGACAAGACTGGGATGGTGGATTTCGCCTTGGAATCTGGAGGTAAATAGAGGAAACACCATTTTTCCTATTGATGTTTTTAGCAGTATTTACTAGAAGTCTTACAATGAAGACTAGAGAGGTTAGTAGAGCTTTCTTGTGTGTTGCCTGATCATCAGTCTGCTGCAATCTACGATGGTGTTTACAGGGCTATGTATCAGCTTAGGTGTGTGTGAACAGGGATAGAACAGTTCTCAGCACATCTACAGCTGGATAAGAAAGAAATTAAAAACCTTTGATGTATTCTTACAGTAACATTGTACTTGATAGAAGATTTTTATCCCCAGAAAATTATTGGATTTTAACAATATATTTAATCTGGATTCATTAAGCTTTTTGTAAATCTTGTTAATTACTCATTTCTTCCTGAAGACTTTTATTTCTGCTAACCTGATCTATCTCTTTTGAGGTGGCAGCATTCTGAGTACTCGTTGTTCTGAAACCTATGAGACCAAGACAGCATTAATTAGCCTCTTTGGAATTCCTTTGTGGTACTTCTCTCAGTCTCCCAGAGTGGTGATTCAGGTAATTAAAGGCCAAATAAACAAATTCAGCGTTATTTTGTGTTGAGTGGATTGGATTGGTTTTTTCGGATCCTGTCTGTAATATATCGAGGGGTACAGGTACTTGAAACTATGTTCCTAAGAGTGGGACTCTTCTGGTGGTCCCTGGACACAGCTTAAGTCCTGCTCTAGTAAAATTTAGACCTTTATAGGAGGCTTGGGTGGTGCATTGGACTTGTGCAAAGTGTGAACAATGGGAGGGTTCCTGTTGAGAAGTAATCTCAAGGTGGGTCTTCAAAACACTGCTGGGAGCTCAGGTGGATGTGGTGATTTCCTGAAGAGTTCCACCAAAGAGATTATTTCTGCCACTTGCTATCTAAGACTGTCCCTAAGAATTCAGAATCCATTACAACTCTCCCATTGCAATGAAAAAAAATCATTACAAAACACTTGTAGGGTTGTTTTTCTTGTTGTGTCTCATCTTGTTCTCTCCAATTTCCTCCTGTCTAGCCGGACATGTATCCGGGGAACTGCTGGGCTTTCAAAGGATCACAGGGCTATCTCGTAGTGAGACTTTCAATGAAGATCTATCCAACTGCCTTTACAGTGGAACACATACCAAAAACACTTTCACCAACAGGAAATATCACCAGTGCTCCTAGAAATTTTGCAGTATATGTAAGTCTGTCTCTGAATTTATGTTGGTGTTTCTACACATAAAGAATTTTTGTGTTATGTACCTTGGAAAATAATGCCTGGAGGGAGGACAGATGAGATGATGGTAAAGTGCTTCAGTCATTGCTCTCAAAATTGAGTATATATTTTTAGTAGCATTTGAGGTTAGGAACAAGAAGTGTTTAAAACTGATTTTGGGGGAGTTGTTTCTCTTGCTTTATACAACAGTAAACATTCTTGGAAGGAGATGATGGTTTTTAATTTGGTCTAGTTCTTCATACACTTTGTTGTTTCATCCTTCCTCCCTCTCCTGGCTTGACAGACTTCTGAGTGCTGTCTGTTGATACTCCGCTGTGTAGACATGCTTCTAGTTTTGCTTTGATTTGAAATTTGTAGGAAGCAAAAATCTTTATGCTGTTCTTACAGGGTCTGGATGATGAATATCAAGAAGAGGGCAAGCTTCTAGGAGAGTATGTCTATGATCAAGAAGGAGAACCACTGCAGATGTTTCCAGTGATGGTGAGTCTGGATTATAAGATTTTAAAGTGTCGAGAGAAAGATGCTTTCTACCTCATCTGTTACAGTGTCCAACAGAAAATGAGGCATTTTCTCTTCACTGCTCATTGCACACAACCATAGAAAATAAAAGTATCTGCCTCAAAACCAATGGCTTAAATAAATAAGAAGGGAGGGAGATTTGTTGCCATCTGGACACAAATGTTCACACAATGTGTGAAGTTGCTAAACATATGAAGAGTCTGTTTCATGCTGCTTCTGACTCACTTATAAATAAATAATCGCAATCCAAGGAAGGGTTTGTTCAAAGGGGCAGAAAATTCCCAAGCCATGACTTAGCTATTTAATGACTGTTGGTACCTGCAGGAATCCAGGAAAGCTTCAGTTGCAGCTGTTTATACCAGCCAACCTAACTCTGGCTTGTGTGTTTGCTTTTGCCTTCTCCAGGAGGAAAATGAAGATGCATTCCAGATAGTGGAGCTGAGGATTTTCTCTAACTGGGGCCATGCAGAGTACACCTGCCTTTATCGGTTCAGAGTGCACGGGAAACCTGCCGAGTAAAGCACACTACAGCTCGTTGTACATTTTGTTCCTAATCTGTATATACCGGAGAGCCTCGAACACTGGAACCTCTAAAGGACGAGGATGCAAGATACACACTGCAGAACTGTTGGTCCTCTGATAAAAGGCAGAAGACTGTCAGCAGAAATGTATAAAAAAAAAAATCAATTTTTATTTGCTCTAACGCTCAGCTTGTAATTGCCAGTTCGCTTCATGTTTCTGTGTCCATGCTGAGGGAAATAATGCATGCAAACAGCTCTGGTTCATAAAGCCCAGTTGGCAAACAGGTGACACATATTTTATTACAAATGAATGTATAGGGGTTTTTTAAAAAGAATAAACCACACTTTCTGCAACTAGGAATCTATTCTTTTTTAATCCAGGTCTTAGCTGCATCCTTCTGCTAGCTTGGCACCATGAGCCAAAAACTGTGGTATATTTTGAACACTGACTGTGGCTAAAGGTGTCCTTCAGCTGACCCTTGGTTTTGACCTTTTTGGTGGATCCAAAAGGGCTTCTTTGATACATGTTGAATATAATAAATCCTACTGTCAGGGAAAGCTAACACAACCAAAACCAGTTTAAACACCAGCGACTGAGAATGCTTTACTGTAATTTGTGGCCGTGAATTGCTCTAAAAGTCAGGGATAACTTTCAGTAACCGAAGTTATTTTAAGGTATTTTACCATGGCAACTTGGCCAGTTTGTTCTTTTTTAGTGTTAATTCCAAATCGACCTTGATGTACTGACTGACTGGATCGGAGCTGATAAACCTGCTAAATTGCTCAGTAAACATTGGTATACAGCGACTGAACAATGTTAGTTTGTCAGAAGTAATCTCTGTGGGATGAGAATTCCTTAGACTGGTTCATTGTTAACACTCCATAAATGTTGTACTGTGAGAACTCAGTGTGTGGAAAACAAGACTGAAGTAATTCTCTCCGCGTCACACTTGCAAGAGGGACTTGTGCTCAGCGCTGCTGTTGCAAACACACGGGCATTCCTGATCCTCCCCAGAAGCCTTAGTCGGGTCTGAGATGATTAGAGTTGCTCCCAGAAGCAACATTTCCATGTAGAACAAGATGAAAACTGCTTGTTTGCGCCCCCCCCCCCCTTAGCATTGCTGCTTTTGGAGATCCTTTTCAGAAAAAGATTCCTGAACTTTACTTGTACGCAGAATTTTTTATCTTGCTGTTCCTAGTGCGTTTTGTAGTTACAGAGAACTGTTACCACATGGACCTGCTGACTGGTTTTCTGAATAGAGTTATGTATGTTGCACAACAGTCCTCGAATGTTTAAATACAAAAGTCTCCATGTGAAGAACTGGTTTTTTTTCACTTGACCTAGAGACAGAACCTATGGCCTACACAGAGGAGTAGATGACACATGTACAGGTGTTTTCATACTATAGGTTACATATTTAAAATTAGAATTATCCTGTGTAAATTGAAATTAGGTAGGTGAGGGGGGGAATATTTTGAATAACACTAACTTATTTTTAAAAAAAAGCAAGATAGGACTTTGTGCAATGTATTTTTGTAAATGCTTTTCAAAATGTCTGTTATTCTTTGCTGCCTCCAAACTGACAAAATGCTATTGAGATGTTTAAATAAAGAGTTTTAATTTTTGAAAGTGCATGTAATACTTGAAAGAAGAAATAAAGCTTCTTTTCTGTAATTTTTTTTTTTTATCAACTGCTTAAATAACTGAGGAAAGACTAATTTAGAATTTTTCCCCTGTCCCTGAGCAGGGTCATTGCTCTTGAGTGTTCCGGGTGAGGAGAGGGGGCTTAAATCTGGCTTTTCTGGGGCAGGGGCACAAAGCTCCGAGGAGCAGCAACATGTGTTGAGTAGATAAACATCACGTTGAAATTCTCGAAGAAAAGCCCAATTTGGTACTTGCTGGATGACTTCTCATCGGTGTGAAACAGGGAGGAGGTTGGATTAATTCCTGCCCCCAGCCTCGCCTACATCCCCGAGCTCCACAGCAGCGCTCAGACACCCCGCCTGCGCTCCATCACTCGTTCCTTGATTTTTTTTTCATATGCTCTGCCGTTCCCTGGCGGGTTCGGCGGGGCCGCTCCCGGAGCCGCTCCCGGGGGCTCCTTCATCGCCCCACCTGGGGCCGTGACCGCCCCGCTGCCCCCGGGACAGCGCGCGAAGCCGCTTCTAATGAGCCTCGCGGGCCGCCGTCCGTGAGGGCGGAAGTCGGGCAGCAAGGGGCCGGCGCTGCTTGCGCATGCGCCCCCCTGCCCGCCGCTGCCGCCCCTCCCCGTGCTCCGCGCTGATGGCGGCGGCGATCATGGCGGCCGAGCAGGAAGCCGCGAAAGGCGGCGGTGGCGGCGGCAGGAACCGCGGGGGCGTGCAGCGCGTGGAGGGGAAGCTGCGCGCCAGCGTCGAGAAGGGCGACTACTACGAGGCGCACCAGATGTACCGGACGCTGTTCTTCAGGTAGGGCTGGGCCGTTCCCCCCCCCCCCATCCCGGCCTTCCAGAGCCTTCCCACGCACTGGGCCCCGCCGCGCCCGTTGCCGCTCCCCATTGGCCGCCGCTCCTGTCCATCTCCCAGTCCCACTCCCTGATTGGCCTCCGGGGGGGCGGGGTGGGGCGGGCTCGTGGCGGGGCCCGGGCCGGGTCCGGAGGGTCGCCCGGGCCGGCCCCGTCCCGGCGGCTCCGGGAGGGCCGTGAGGGGAAGCCCGACCCCGGCCTGGCTGAGGGAGCGGCGGGGCATGGCGGGGCCCGTGCCCTGGGGACGCGCGGCGGGTGTTGAGTTAAACTGCCCAGAGGTCACGGCCGGCGCGGAATTCAACCCCCCCTGCCCCCCCAGTGCCTCCCGCCGAGTTCGAGTGATGCCCCCCCCGGCCTTCCCTCGGGGCTCGCCCCCTGTGCCGGGCTCGAGGCCGTCCCGGAGCTGAGCCCTTCGCGGCCTCTGCGCTGCCAGCTCGGCCCGGATGTCAGCGCAGAGGCTGTGTTGGGGTCTCGGGGTTTCAAGGGTGACCTGCTCGGCCGGGACACGGGGCTGCTTTGTTGCAGGGCACAGCCACCCTCTCAGTAAGGGAAAGGGGCATCTCAGCGTGGCCGGAATCGCCTGCATGGAGGAATTTTTAAAGAGTAAATTCCACCTGATGTAGTATTTGTGTACGTGACAGAGACTGAGTAAAGCAGGCCTGGGCATTTATTCAGAAATGTTGTTGCTGGCTCTTATGTCATAATGAAATTATTTTTATTGCAAAACTTCCAGATTTTATGTTTTACACCCACTGCAATTTGCAGTGGTCACAGTTTCTCTCATCAGCATTTAAAATGTAGGCTCTTGTGTTCAGGGGCTTCCTTGGTTGGTCCCAACTTCGTTTTACTTGTGGCTCTGCTGGGAGAGGTCTGGAGGGAAAATTGCCTTCGCAGAATTCACAGGGTTGGAAAAGTCCTCTAAGGTCATCAAGTCCAATCTTTGACCAGTCACCACCTTGTCAACAAGACCAGAACACTCAGTGCCACATCCAGGTGCTTTTTGAACCCTTCCAGGGACTGTGACTCCACCACCTTCCTGGGCAGCCCCTTCCAATGCTTGTCCACCTTTTCTGTGAAGAAATTTCTACCTTCCCTGTCTTGTGACTCCTGTCCTCAGACCTCCTCTGAGTTAGTATAGGAAGAGGCCTGTGACGAAGCACAATAAAATAGCAGCCAGGGAAGAAAGTCCTTGATGCACAGTCCTATTTCTGCTCCCAGTGTTCATCAGACAGCCTGCCCTGCCCTGCCCTGCCCCCTTGTACCAGCACCATCAAATTAAAGCAGTTCATTCTGCCATAACCCTCTGATGGGATCAGCGAGGCACCATCCAGACCTTAAGACTTAAATTGTATTTGGGAATAAATCTAAATTTAAGACAAAGCCTGGCCTATTTTATAGTAGGGATTATGTGATGTGGTGTCTGCAGTGGTGCAAGAAGTCTTGGCTCAGGAGGTCACTTCTCCTCCAGTCCTCTGGATGTATTAACTCACATACTTTGCTTAAGCCTCCCTGAATTAATTTGAAATAAAAATCCTGCCTTTTCCATTTTAAATGCAAGTGAAAGGAGGTGCTCAATTAAATGAGAAGGTGACATTTGCATGGCTGGGGAAAGGGCAAAAAGGTGGAATGTGACTGTGAAACTTGTTTGGAAAATCACTGTGACCAAAAGAAAGTGCTGGATGCTCTTGTCAGTCCTCTGTAAAATGTGTTAAATATCAGCATTTTTCCAGAGACACGTGAACACGGATTGGGATGACCTCAGCTCTGGAATTGTGATTGGGATAGCCAGTGCTTATGCCTTTTACACACACTGGCCTGTTAAATGTTAGTCTGGTCTGTCAGAGGTTAAACTTGAAATCCTGACTCAGTTTCATACACTGAGATGTATTTGAGAGTGGAGGAGGGGAAGAAGTGGAGGAGGAAAGATTACCATAAGCCTACCTCCTGCAGAGTTATTATCCCTCCTTGTGATCCACAGAGCAGGTGGAAAACTGCTGTTCCTGCCTGACCCTGAGCTCCTCTGAACAGGAGCACCTGGGCCAGTGGTGTCACTCCACAGGCTGGCTGGGCTGAACCCTTTTCTCTTCATGATTTGGTGACTGAGTCAAACTTCCAAGTGTAATATCCTTGTGACATCAATTTCTATTTTCCTGACATTGCTGATGATTTTTCTGGTATGAATAATATGTTCCAGGATTTCCGTTGTTCTAAATGCCATTCAGAGTAGTGCCATCAATATTTATTTTTTATTAAAAAGAACTTTTCTAATAAAAGTTCTGCAAAAAAACCCCCCAACACTTCAAAATGTATTTTATATTGTGAAACTGTTTTCAGCATCTTTCAGTATCTTCTGTAATATTTCCCAGATTAAGAGCTCCCAAATAGCATTGTGACTCTGCTGAAAGTAGAATTTGTGCAAGTGGATCCACACTTTATCAAACTCCTAGAAGCAAACCTGGATGTGAGCCCAACTATAAAAATGTTGGAGCTGCTGATCTGTTTGGCTCACATGTGGAACATTCATCGTGGTGGTTGCAAATCCAAATTGTTGAGGGTCCTTATTCCAACGCACTACCATTGTGCTATCCATTATCTCAGTGCTGCTGCTGTTTTTCAGAGACCTTGGGGTTTGTGGGAGCAGAGGAGTGGAATGGAAGGACTGTCTCCTCCCTTGTTTGTTGTCTGTGTGATGTTACCAGTAGGGCCTGTTCCTGGAGCTGTCTCGTGTGACAGGAATCTCGGGCACAGCACAAGAGCTTTGGGATGCACTGCTCCCTCCAGTTGTCCCCCTGGTTAGTGTGACCCCCCCATGCCCTTGCTGTCCACCTGCTGCTTCACCCCCAGAGATACCAACCCCTCTGTTACCCCGCGGGACTCTCAGGCTTCAGGTCACCTTGGGGGACCTCAGGGGCTGCAGGAGCAGAGGGGCTGCCCTGACCCCCCGGGGAATGGAAGGGAGTGACACAGGCACAGCCCAGCCAGGTGTGGCACAGAGGACAAACCAAACCCTGCAGGTACTAAAGCAGCATGGTCAGCTTATCTCTGCTGATAGGAGCAAATCAGCTTCAGCCGCTGTTATTAACTTCTGAGAATACAGACTTCTGGGGAACCAGTCAAGAGAAATGGAACTTGGAAACCATGTCTGCTGCCACACCTAAACTGGTTTTTTATGGGAAATGCTGTGCTTTTAATACAGAGCTGTGACAAGAGCTTTAGTTACTGGTAGCGATGATGTACAGGAGGCTGCAATCACAGCTCTGTGGTCAGAGGCTCCTGAGGTTGGGAACAAGTTCTTTCTTTCCTCATTTCTTGGTTAACTCTTAAGTAAGGAAGGTGGAAGCTGCAGTAGCTGCGTTTTGAAGCGTTATATTTTGTTTCTTTGAAAGTTTTGCCTGGTGAATCTTGCTGGCTGCTGTCCCCTGGCAGAGTTGTAATGGTCAGAGAAACTTAAACCAGTGGAAAGGAGATCATTGAGGAGAGGGCTGGAGTCACTTGGGCAGTGCTGGGTGTGTGAGCTCTCCAGGGGCTGTTCCAAAAATAGTTTCACTGGGATGGCTTTGGTAAAGGCTCAGAAGTCACCTTCTGTTTGGTTTAGTTCAGTGCATTGGCATCTTTTGCTCAGGTGAACTCCTGGCATCATTCCCTTTTCTTTGTTCCAGCCCAAATCAGGTTTGTAGCTCTCAGTTTTCATTCTTTGCTTTGTTCCATGAAGTCTGGAAAACAAATTGCAATTTGCAGCTAAAGCTACATCATTATTGAGACTAACCTCATTTAAAAATAAATCCCTTGTTGCCTTTATTTTAAATTTTAGTGACCTTTGAATCCTTCAAGTATAACTAACTTCATGGTAATTTTTATCATGGCTTTGGTGTTTTTTCAGGTATATGTCACAAGGAAAACACGCAGAAGCAAGAGAACTTATGTATTCAGGGGCTTTGCTGTTCTTCAGTCATAACCAAGTAAGTCACTGGTTTTGTGTGTGCGGTTTGGGTGGCAGGGAGTTGTTATTTTGAGATTTTGAGAGCTGAATGGCGAGTTCTGAGGGGTAAATGTTTGGGCTAATTGCTTTGTAATCTTTTGTTTTATCTCTTTGTTGAGCCTCTCTCCACAAAGAAGGATTATGCCAAACTGGAACATGCAGCAGAAGTGTTTGTGAGCATCCAAACAATAACCATGTTTTGCTTTCCTGGAGGCTTCTCTTTTGATGCCATCAAATTACTATAATTTTTTTATAAGGGAGGGCTGAGACTTGATGCTGTGCCTTGGCTGTAGACGTTGATAAAAGCATTAAACCCTCTGCTGCCAAAATTCTGGCTGATGTTTTCTTTTATGTGCTGATACGTTCATCACTGCCAGTATGTGTCTGTTTTGTAGCAAAACAGTGCTGCTGATCTGTCCATGCTGGTTCTGGAGTCTTTGGAGAAATCGGATGCAAAAGTAGCAGAAGACCTTTTAGGTGAGGTGACCTTTGCACTCAGTTTGATGGTGTTTAGCTGTGCTTTCCCTTCACAGTGTCTGTTTTTAATAGTCTTGAAAGCTGCAATCCTGTTTGGATGCATTCCCACATGGCTCAGGGTTGCCTTCCCCATAGAAATGGACTGGGGGGGAAAGTTTATTAGAGAATGATGGATTCCTGATAACTTGGGCATGCTTGGAACTCCCAGTGCTGCCTGTCTTAAAGATGTACCTTATAAATGCACTAGAAGCAGCAGATCATCTTATTTCTCTTAATGCTAAATATTTTTGAATCTTATTGCTTCTAGAAAACTTGGCTAAATTGTTTAGTTTAATGGACCCAAATTCTCCCGAACGAGTGGCTTTCGTATCCAGAGCACTAAAATGGTCCAGTGGAGGATCAGGAAAACTTGGGCATCCAAAACTACACCAGTTACTAGCTATTACCCTGTGGAAAGGTAAGAAAAATCAACTGGCTTTTTTGTGTTTTTCTTTGGAAAGCAAGATATTGTATGAGATCTACTTTGGAAATAATCTAAGGAAGCTGAGATAGAAATAATTGATTGAGTTCTACTATTGTCTGATTTTTGCAATAACATCATCTTAATGTTATTAGCAGGAGAAAAATGGAGCTGTAGCTCTACATTAGTGCAAACCCCAAAACACAACTGCTGTAAGACTCTGTAAATGACAAATGGAACCTTTAGATGCTGAGGTAGTTTGATTGTGTCATTAGGAGGAAAATTGCCGGGGAGCAAAGCTGTTCTGTTGGTGAGGATTTTTGTTTTTAAATGCTGGATAAACATGACAAAGATTGAAATACTTCACCTGGCATCCAAAACAGTCTCTGGACTGTAATTAAGTACTTTTTGAGAAGTTGACCAGCAGGCTTATTCCAGAATGAATGCTCTTGCCTTTGATTTATGAGCCATTATCACTTGTGATGGGATGCCAGATAAACACAAAATGCTCTAAATAATTATTTTAATTGTGGATGGTAGCCAGTTTTTAAAGTCTTGTGTTCGAAACATAACAAAGGTGACTGAGAACAGTTGAATACATGCCATTTCTTCTGTGGTTTCTCATGAGTAACTGTGCAAAATGATTGTTTATTTTACATTTTCCAGTAGCTGCCAAGTGATGACAGTGGTTTCATGTAACAACCCTGACCCAATAATGGTCAACACTGCAGCTCATCATCTGTGTGTGTGCCATAGGCAATCCCATAGCTGCTCCATGGGCTTAGGTTATCCTGATGGCTGCTGCCAGCCAGAAAGGCAGGATTTTCCTCAGAGCATTTGAGTTAGAAGCTGAGCTACAATTAGGATAAGAAACAGTTGCATTCTGAAAGTAAAAATCTCCATTTTGTAGCTGTCTGCTCACTGTTCTCTTGAACAGCAAAATGCCTACGTTTCCTTAGTCTGTATTTTTTTGAGTTTCATCAGAAAAGACTCAGATTTTTAAAACAAAGCTCTCAAATTCCAAGAGTTAGCAGCTCTCGGGGTTCTGTCATTGCAGTGATTTTTGCATGATGCTTTGCTTCAAGTTCTAACAAATCATTGCCATTTCTTACACCTTTTTCCTGTATAATTGCTGTTCTATTCAGCATATGGAAGCAATTTTAATTTTTATAGCGAGAGTGGGCTAAACTAAAAATAAGAAGTGCCTTCTTTCTGTGCACTTGGAAAGAAGGATGCTGAAGGTGCTGTTTGACTTCTTGGTGCACATGGTCTAATGTGGAATTTCTTGATGAAAGCATGTGAAGTGTCAACATGCAGTGAGATAAAATGATATGGCCAAAGTTCAAGCCAGTGGTGGCTGGCATTGAATAAACTGTATTTAATAGCAGTTTTTCAAATATATTTAAGTTAAAATTTATTATTATTTCCCTTTATAAGTTGTCTGTAACTCATAAACTTTTTACTAGTTGTCTTGTTTATATACCACATGTGTAGTTGTTCTTTTACCAGCTAACAAAGTAAAAACCTGATAAATTTTGGTTTTACACTCAGGTACGATGAATTGATTTCTTAAAAGCCATTTTCTTTTTCTTTTCTTCCTTTTCTAGAGCAAAACTATAGTGAATCTCGGTATCACTTCTTGCACTCCACAGATGGTGAGGGCTGTGCAAATATGCTGGTAGAATACTCGTCGTCCCGCGGATACCGCAGTGAGGTGGACATGTTTGTAGCTCAGGCAGTACTACAGTAGGTGTCAAACTTCTGTGCAAGTATTTTGCTGAGATGACATTGTGTTTTGGGGCCAGTTTAATCGTGGTAACTGTAGGTTTAACCATGCATCCTTTTTGAAAGAAACTGTGAAACTGGCCAGAGCTGCTGAAAGTCATTTTGTGTGATAACAACAGGAGAAAACCATCTGAAAACTGGTGTGTTAAATCGGTCAGACTGGGGAGAAAAAAACCCACAGCCAACGTATTAAGGTTGAAACCTGAAATCCCGTTAATTGCCTGAAGAATTAATGCAATCTGTTTGACCCTGAAAGCACAATTCTTAGCTTTGTTAATACCACTTTATGTCCAATGAGGGCTTACCTCGATGTTCTTACAAAGACTAGGCCTAAGCAGGCTCTGTATTTACCTTTAGCACAGTTCTTGCTCTCAGTGTCATCCTCAGAGACAGTTTGTCCTGGTCACCCTGGTCCTTGAGCAGCAGCACTATGGCTTTTGGTTTGACAGAGTTGCTGCTGGCTCTCATTTCCTTCAGGCATCTATTTTGTAGGAGGTGGGAATGCAAGCTATTATGTGCTTTTGCAGAGCTCATGTAGAATGAAGGTTGACAAAGCCAATTTTACTGTGTTTAATCAGCTGATGGCTTTCTTCAGTCAGGGAAAGCAGCTCATGGAGGAGTCTGAGGAGGAGGTGGAGACAGGACTGTGTGGCAGGGAGTCAGGGAGAGAGTAGGTGTTGGGGGAGAGGGAGGAGGTGCAAGCAAGTTTGTCTCTCTTTTGGCAGCACTGAGCTGTCATATCAGATTTGTCCTCCTTTCCATAGCTGGTTGCTATAGATGGCTGTGATTTTGAGCAGTAGCTCAAATCCTTTATGGAAATCCAGTATAAGCAGGACTCTTAAGCAATTTTATGGGGCTTTGCTCTGGAGGGGGGGAAATTCTGGGCAGAAATTAAGAGTAAGAGACTATTTTTTCAGTGTTTATACAGCACTACTACTGCATCCTCTACTGGCCTATATCTCAAACACTGTGCTAAATCCTCTTACATAGCAGTTTGTACTCTAATGAAAATAATTGCAGTTCCTTGCCTAGCAGTGAGGCAAAAGAGCCCCAAGCCCTTGCACATGTGAGGGTACAGAATTAGAGGCCAGCCTGCCATCAAAAATGAGATGGCTCGTGCAGCCTTCCTAGAGCCTGCTGACAGCATTTGTCCCACATTCATCCCGTTAGGCCAATGGGACTGGCAGAGATTGCCAGTTAAATTAACGTGACCTGAACTCAGATTTGATTGGTTTGGGGGATTGATCTGTTGGCTGGGGACAAATGGCTTGGGAGCTCGAAGTGTAGCTTTATTATGAGACTTTTAGGCATGTGTGTTGAACTTATTCGTGGTCCTGATGCCACGTTATTTTGAGGTGGTGCCAATAGAATGGCAGAGTCATCGGACACTGACAGATACATACTGAAAGGAGATGTGGTTTGGTTTGGATTGGGTTTAATTCAGTTGTTACCTCAGCATAGTAATCTCTGGACCAGTAAATTCAATATCATGTTAAATGTGAATTACAGCGTAGCCAGTCTTTCCACATTTTGATTAAATTGATGCCCTCTATTAGTAACCATCCTGTGTACAAGCTGCTTAAATCCTGGTTAAACTCATTCTTTATTATTTATTGTCTGTTCTCCCTCCCAACCTGCCTATTCCACAGTGTATTCTAGTAGTGATTTTCCCCTTCCTCAGTTGATGGCCAAACCATTCCCAACGATGTACCTCTTCCACTTGGGTTTTGCCGTCAGTTTAAGCCTGACATGGCCTCTGTGCACAAATGAAGTAGACTGTTTAGCTTTTGGCTTCCCCTTCTCTTTCTGTGTGTGAAACTGTTTTTCTGCCTTTTGTTTTTAACTTGCCCTGTTCTCTTTCCTTTTTCAGATTTCTCTGCTTAAAGAATAAGACCAGCGCATCAGTTGTTTTTACGACATACACACAGAAACATCCTTCAATAGAGAAGGGCCCACCCTTTGTTCAACCACTGCTAAACTTCATCTGGTTTCTGTTGTTGGCAGTTGATGGGTACAGTCTGATTTCTGTCATGTTGTTCTTGGTTTATTTTTCAGTTGTTACTGAGATTACATTTTTGGTTGTTTCCTTTCTAGAGGAAAACTAACAGTATTTACAGTATTGTGTGAACAGTATCAACCTTCTCTGAAAAGGGATCCCATGTATAATGAGGTGAGTTACTCATAAACAGGATTTAACCTACTGAATTAGTTAAATAATAGCTGGTTGTCTCCTGTGTTGTGACTTGTAAATAGAAGTTGGAGATCTACCTTGTGTGGGTGACTGCTGCCCATAGTATTTCCACCAGGAAATGGAATAAATGACATTTTTCTTCATCTTGTGTCGTTTCAGTACCTAGATAGAATAGGACAGCTTTTCTTTGGAGTTCCGCCCAAGCAGACCTCATCCTACGGAGGATTGCTAGGTAAGGTTGGTTTGTAGGTACCACAGACTTAGATAAAGCATCTCTGCTGGAAACAGATAATCTGTTCTAATGAATATTTAACTCTTTCCATAGCCTGTAGAAACAGTCCCTGCTGTAGAATACAGCATTAATTGGTTGCATGTCATATTAGTTTGCTGGAGTTAGTAGACCTTTCCTGTTTGAGAAGGGGAAAGCACGTAAATGACTCTTACATTTAATTTTTGACATTATGGTATAACTTCCTAACATTAAGAAGCATCTTAATGGTGTTAAAACTTAATTTCCTCAGACTTCAGTGGCTGATTTTCCTTAAGTCAAGTCTGGGGCTCTGCTAGGGTTCTAATACTACCCTTTTACAAGAAATGAAAGGGAATCGAGAATTTCAGTCCTCATTTCCTGGCTCTCGAATAAAAGGTGAATAAAACTGAATGTTTTCCCTTAGGAACTAAACTTCTTAGTTTGTAAACTGACTTGAAGCTTTACCTACAAATACCAATTCACTGATACCCAAAGTTTGGTGAAAAACACGAACATCATGTTTTTACCATCTGTAATTTGCTTTTCAGCAATTCAAGCACCTCTAAGTGCATTTGAATTTTGAACAAGTTTTTTACATTGTGATGCAGGACTGTTGCTGCCTTTTTGAGAGTTTCCCTGCTGCTCATGTGGTTGGGTGTGTTTTCCCCTCAGGGCGCAAATGTAGCACATAAATATAAAAGTCTGATGGGTTTTTCCAGTGTCTTGTTAGAGAAGGAACAGTATCAGTAAAGAGCAGCAGTCCTGTGTAGGGCTAACAGTGTGCAACTTCTCAAGTCAATATTCTTAATGGACACCACTGTGAAAATACTAATGTCTTGCTTCAAACAACACTCTCCTCTTAGGTTTTTTTTGGTTGTGTTTTCTTGTTATTGGTTTTTTGTTTGTTCTGGGGATTTTTTTTGTTACAGAAATCTGCAACATAGAGCAGGATGGAAGGACATCAGTTAAAAGTTTTTGAGATGAGAACATAAAACTAGCAATTTTAACTGTCTCCTATTTTATTCTAGGAAATCTTTTAAACAGTCTGATGGGAACTGGTGAAGATGATGACACAGAAGATGGTCAGGAAGACAGCAGTCCTATCGAGCTCGACTGAATGTTGTTGTCATTGGGTGCCGTGTAAATCTGATGATTCGATGACTCCAAAGACACTTTGGAATTTGAATCCTGCAGTTGTTTCTTGGCGCCTGAAAGGGCTCCTCTGGTCTTTTAGAAATGGTTGCTGAAATGTTTATAATGTCGGTCTATATTATTTATGTAAAAAAAAAAAAAAAAAAAAGAAAGAAACCAACAAAAAGTAGCCAAACGAACCAATCGGAGCAGTTGTTAGTGGGTTTCCGATGCAGTGGCTGGTGACTGATTAAAATATAGTCTTCTGCGGTTTCTGATGCAGTATTCCCTTTTGCACAGTAATTCAATAAAGCATAAAAATGGGTCTTGTCCTTCATGGCCTGCCCAGTACCGTCTCTGTTACGAGAAAGCCTCCTTGACCTCTGCCCTCTCCAAGGAAGATCTCGAAAGGCAGGGGGAGCAATTGAATAATTTATTTGCGAGGCTGGTGCCAAAAGTACTGTGAGACGAGCCAAGGAGCATCATTTGAGATGCACATGCAAGAGACATTGAAACAAGAACTCGCTTCCACTGCCATGAGTAACATGCACACCCTTCATTACTGCCTGTCCCTCTCCCCAAGGTCTGGCTCTGGCCGAGCCCACGCGTGTGTTTTTAGCCGATAATTCCTGAAAAGCACAAGATTTGACTTGCTCTTGAGTAAAAGCCCATCAGTGGAATGTAGGGTAATTGGCTTCCATTTTTGCATCTAAAATGCCTCCTCTGGCTTGTGGCTCTACTCCTTTGGAACAGATTCTTTGTCAGTGCAAGTCCATAACAACGTACAGGCGACGGCGCGACAGTGAGTGACACGGTTTGCCGTGAGCAGTGTATGTGTTTGACCTGAGCTGTGTGTAAAAGGAAAGGGATACTGCAGAACTCCTGGTTCTTTATGATATATTTATTTTTCTTGGGTGATTGATTCATTTAACACTTTCTGTTAAAAAGAATAAATCAATAAATAATGGAGTAACTTCACCCCCAGCAGTAGGCATAGCCATTCTCCATCTCCTCTGTAATGCAGCACAGTCTGGTGCAGGGAGCAGATGAAAGGGTGGGGAAACGCTTTATTTTTTCACGATGAAAATAAAAAAGCTTAGATTAATAAACAGCAATCATGCATGGGGGAGGGATTAATACAAATTTATTGACTGTATGGAAAAAAAAAAAAAAAAAGCATTGACAGGAAGACTTTGTGTTAATTGTGAAGTCTCAAATAAACACTTTATACGAGGATGTGCAATAGTGCTGCTTTCTGGGAGATTTCCATGCAGAGATCTTACTTTCCTTGCTGGTTTTTCCACTCTGCATTTGACTGGGGGTCATCCAGCCCTCAGTGCAGTAAAGGCGTAATTCTAGGGGTTATTGGAATGTCTGGAGAAGAGGTGGACTGCTTTGATTTGCAGCAAGTTTAAGGAAGAGCTGCCTACCCGGGATGGTGCTGCAGATATTTAATACATGATCTGGGATGTTGAGAAGAGGTTTAGAACCAAATCATTTCATTGCCTCTGGCTGCCAGGAATGGGTGGTGAAAGGTGTCCACAGGTGTCCAGCAGCAGTGTCCCCTCCTGTGTCCTGCATATACGACCCAGTGTGAGGTTACATTTGTGTATATACACACCCATATAAACAGCCTTTTGTGTAGATTGGAATTAAATAATTGAATGGTATATAATTTATAATATATTATTCTTAATTATACATACACAAAAACAATCTTTACAGCTAGTTATAAACACAAGAAATGAGTCCAGTCTGTCCTCTCCCTGCTTCTGCCATGCCTGGGTTGGTAAGTAAGGATGAGTGAGCGTGAGTGTGTGTGTGTAACATTTATAAATACTTTTAATACAAACTAAATATATCATCATAGCTGTGCACGCATATGTGGATAGGTTTATATGCAATATATTCCTCTTAACGTTTATATGTTTATAAATTATATACTTATATAAAAAGCATGCACGTTTATATAACTACGTATTTTATAAAATCCCAACTATAAAAATGTCTCTATATATAGACAGGTGTATGAAATACATTTAGTTTATATATTTGTAAATTAAATGTATGTATCTCAGTGCTATATATACCTGCATGTGTGTCTGTGAATAGTCAACAACCCTTTAATAATATTTATTTCTATAAACCTAAGTAGTTTGTGTATATATATATATATGTATATATGTATATATATATACACACGTGTGAGTGCATACAAATAAATGTATTACAGAGAAAATATATAAAACCTACACTATACATATACCCGAGTAATATATAAAATAATACACATAACTGTTTAATATGCATGAAATATATTTACCAGGTATATGTATGTGCAGCTTCTTCCTCACCAACACCCCCCAGAGCAGCCCAGGGTGGGGCAGATGGTTTTGTGGGTGTCCCACAGCCCTCAGAGCTCTGCCTGTTTTTTGAGCCCCACCTCCCTCCCCTGCCCCAGCACCACACGGCCACGGCTCTGACATAATAATAATTTATTGGTTCGAATGACACTTAGTACCACAGTTGTCTTACCAGTGACAGAACGAATGCACACAGCTGATGAGATGCTCTCGGTTACACACACCAACCTAAGGAACGCGTTGGACGGGTCCATGTCCGGGGCTGGTCCTCTCACAGACGCCAGAAATTTCATTTTTGGGTAAAAATCCAGCACCTGGTGTGCAGGTCCCAGCCCGCCCGTCCCGACTGCAGGAATTACAGTGCTCAACACCGCGCTGAAACGTCACTTCAAGCAGCTTTTTTTTTCTTTTTTTTTTTTTTTTCTTTTTTTCTTTTTTTTTGGCAGGAAAAAGAAAATCAACAAAAAAATTGAGAGAATTATTGGGGGAAAAAAGTGCAACCACCAAGACTGGAGAAGGGACGTGCCTGCTGGGGGTGGGCTGGGACAGGCTTTGATGTGCCCGTCAGCAAAACTGCACCTAAAGCTCAACTCCCCCCCCCCAACTCCACACCAGGCTCCCAAAAGGGTGCAATCCCCCCTAAACCATGAAACAGGAATGACCCAGAAGCAGAGCACAGGCCTGGCCCCTAAAGCTCTGCTTTCCCAGCATCACCTCATGGGTTGGTGTATCCCTTGCAGGGTTGGGGCAACACTGCTCTGTCCCCATTGAGTTTCCTCCTCCCTGCCCTTCCTTCAGCAGTAACGAGGCTGATGATGTCCATTTCCTCATTTTCTAAAATCCCATTTGACCCTGTCCAGGTACAGCATCACCACCCCTCTGCAGAGAGGTGATTTCCTTATCCTTTACTCCAGTGCCATCGGGAGGCCCAGCCGTTTTGCACAGCACCATTTCAGGTGTTCCCAGGCTGCAATTTCCCATCCCACGAGGATGTCACTGCTCGGGGACTCGCAGCCCCCTGTAAAGGGCTAGCAGCCAGCTGGGACTGTGGGGATGCTCAGCTCCAGAGCCCAGGGACCTGCACATGTGGAAAAGCTCCATCTCCCCCTGGGATGAGCCACTAACAGTCTCTGCCATCCTGCTGAAGCTGGGTGGGACGCCCCTTCCAGCGGGTGTGGGGTGATGGGGTGGCAGGACCACCTGTCCCATCCCATGGAGCTGAATTTCAAGTTGGATCAGCATCTTCTCCAAAGTTCCGCTGCCGTCCTTCTCGGTTTCCAACATGATCAAGTGAATGATGAGGGGAAAGGGAAGTATTATTATTATTATTACTGTTATTATTAATTATTATTTTAAACATTTCAAATAAAACCACGTTGTGTTGTAAACAGAAGCTCACTCCTCAGGTCTGCCCAGCCAGTCCCAGCTAAGGTTTATGTTTGAAATGGGCTTCCACTGAAAGGAAAAAGCAGAGAAAATAACGTTAAAAGCAGGATAAGCACTGGGCAAGCAGTGACAGCCCTGCATAAGCCCACCCTGCTAATGGTTCTTGCTGTGCTGACGCTCCTTTAATCTGATTATTCTTATAACTGTACGACTGATCCTTACAGCACCATGGGCATCATACCAGAGTCAATAAAGAGGGAAAGATACCATCCTCCTCCTCCCACTGTGAGTCCCTCTCTGCTCAAACAGCCTTTGCATCCTCCCCCGACACCCGTCATGGGCTGCCCTGCTCACATCGTACAGGAGGGAGCGATGTCGCTGCATCTCCAACCCCCTTCTGGCCATTAAATCCTCCAACACTTGGTAGATAGCAGAGCCAAATCCAGCTCCCACCAGGAAACACACCTGCGTATTCCTGAGGCAGCATCGGCCGGCTGATGACTTTCTGAAAGGTCGTGATCCACTCCAGCTGGTCGTCCTCTGTCTCGCAGGCGAAGAGGAATTTCCGATCCGGGGTGACAATGGTTATCCCATGCTGCCAGTGGTTTCCCTGTGTGGACGGCGGGAGCCCTTCCAGCACCTTGTAGCTGTTTTCTTTGCTCCCGATAAAAACTTCCCCTCTAGCAAAGGCATCCTAGGAGACAGCAGAGCAGTCAGGCGGGTGTGAGCGTGAAGGGGGCACTGGGTCCCAGACAGCTGGGACACGGCTCACCCTGCAGCAGCCACAAGTCCCACGAGCCAAACCCCAACAGCACCAGCCACCCCAAGACCCCCTGCTCATCCCACAGGGGCACCCACAATACAGCACCAACACCAGGGAGACCAAAATCCAGATGCAGAATGCCCAGTGAACAGGGCTTCCAAAGAATTTTTGGTATCTCTGCACAGGAGTGTTGCACACTGAACACCAGGTAGAGCTCAGAGCAATTAGAGCTTTGTGCTCTCTTGGCTCTCCCACCAGCCTGAGCTTCACTGCAGATTATTACTATCATTATTACTATTATTATAATTACTAGTATTATTATTGCAGATAATTCCCAACAGGCAGCCCATGCACCTTCCTCTTACCAGGGGATCTTTAAAATACATGAGCCGTCGGTCATCCATGGTGAACCATCGCTTCTTGAATCCCTCTGTTTGCTGAAGAGTCAAAAATGCTGGATTACACACTGAAACAGCACAGTTTCTCTCTTATCAGGTATGATCCAGGAGTCTCAAGTCACTTGGAAGACCCGGATGGGTTGGGGGATTTGAGAACAGGCAGCTTCTGGGTCATCAGGAACCACCACAGCCAAGGTTTGGGCCAGCTGTACCACGGGGGCTTACAGGAAGGGGCAGTGAGTTTGTGAAGTAGTTTTTGATTTTTTTTAATGTTTGCTCCCAGGTGATAAAAATGTATGGTGTAACAGCTTTGCCTCTCTGGCAAAATATAATACATGAGAAATACTTTATATCCTACCTTTGGCCCCGTTTTCTCCATGTATCCTTCCTTCAGGTAGTTTCTAGAAAGCTTTGGCACCAGCTGGAGCAACCGAGAAGGAGAAAAAAAAGAGAGGAACATCAGGTGGAGGGGCTGGGGGGTCACTGGGTGTGCTGGGCAAGGCTGGAGGGGTTGCTGGAAGGAAAACCCACACCGAGCTGGCCCCCAGCCCTGAAGCCACCCAAGAGGTGGGTGCAGAACCATGAAACATCTTTGAGCACTTCATCTGCACAGCCAGCAGCCTCAGGGAGAAGCCCCAGGGCTGCTGGGACAGCCAGAGAAGGAGCCACCCTGCATCTCAGAGCCAGCCCAGCCCATGACTGGACCCCTGCCATGTAATTAGCGGAAGGCAGGGAAGGCAATTCGATTTCAAAACCTACAGTCAAGGAGGTAGCAGAGAGTAATCAACAACAACCAGCACCAATGACGTTACCAACTGCAAACCCCAGCCCTGGCTGCCAGTGCAGGCTCTGGAATTGCATTAGCAAAGGGTAACACAATTAGCAGCTCCAGCAGCCGGAAAACACAGACAGAGATTCATAAGCCAGGCTGCGCTGACCTGCACGCAAGAACTCATCCAGAGGCCTGGGTATGGCACTCACATCCTTCTGCTTTCATCTTTTCTACCTCACAGCCTTTGTTTCAGCTTTTTGGTATTACAGCAGCAGAAAGATGCTTATAAGGCTGGAGTTACTCACACACACCACTCACGTTGTTAGGTGAACATGTGTGACTGCACGTGCACGTGGTTTCCAAGGCTGGATGCTGGGAACAGGTGCTGCACGTGGGCTCGACATCCCACTGCAATCATTTCAGCCTGGTAATTGTAAAATGCTCCGAAGGATGGAGCACTCCCCAAGCCTTCCAGCTTGTTAACAAGATGCTAAAAACGAGCAAGAGGGGAAAAGGAAATTAAAAAAACAACCAAAACTGATGGAGCACTCACG